GGGGGGGGGCTGTCGGCCGGTCCCTGGGCCTGAACGTGCGCCCTCTGTACAGAGACGATGCGTAGGAAACACATGTGGACACTGGGCTGGACGTGCGGTGGACTTCTCCTCCTCATCTTTACCATCTGCCTGTGCTGGTGAAGGGACTGGGTGTGGGCGGGGTACTCCTGAATGAACAGAGGGCAGTACGTGGGGGCTTCCTGTACCTCAAAACGAGCAGGGGACAGAGTGTGGGGTATAGCACCTTTAAATGAGCCGGAACAAAGGGTGGGAGTGCCTGTCCCTCTAAATGAACAGGGGGCAGGGTATACGGGGTGCTGTACCCCCAAATGAACAGGGGATAGGTAGGGATCACTGCACCTCTAAGTGAGCAAAGTATGGGGTACCACACCTCTAAATGAGCCTAGAGTAAGGGAATGGTGTACCTGTGCCCCTCAACATTAGCAGGAGGTGAGAACATGGGGGTGCATGTGCCCTGAAATGGGCCAAGTCAGTGAATACAAGTACTGCACCCCCTAAATGAGCAGGGGTGGGGGAGGCCCAACCTCCTTTTGCTGTTCCTCCTCTCCACCACCTGCTTACTCTAGAGAGAGGAGTCAGGACATGGCAGTGAGGGGTATGCCTGCCCTCCCACCCCGATACACAGAATGGGTCAAGTTGGGGTGACTGTTTATAAGCTGAGGGGCTGGGGGTACATATGTCCCAAGTGAAGTGAGTGGAATCAAGGGGTGCCTGGGCTCTCAAATGCAGAGAGCAGGGTCAGAGTGAGGGGTGCCCCAGAGTGGGGTTCAGGGCATAGGGGTTCCCTGTGTAGGGTGGCAGGAGAGGGAGTGGCCAAGCCTGCCTCCCCCATGCCCCTCAGGTGGGCCAAGCACCGGAACCTGCTGCACCTGCCCAGATTCATGAAGAATCAGTGCGCCTGGCCCAAGTCCAGGTCCAGGTCCATGAAGTCCAAGGACAAGGTCCCCTTGGTCAAGGATAAGCCTGCCTCAACCACCAGCATGCCCATGTCCCAGCAGCAGGAGACAGTCGGCACCGAGGGGGAGGGCGAGATGGAAGGGGGGGAGACGGAGGAGGGGGCTGAGGATGACTAGTGTGGCCCCTGAAGGGCTCAACAATATAGGCACAGCTTTAGGACATCTGGTCTCTTTTCTGGGGGCTGTGGGGAGCAGAACTCCTTGTTCTAAGACAGAGGTGAATGTGGGTGCGTGGGTGTCATGTGCGTGGGGGAGGTGGCCAGGGAGCCGAGCTGAGGGAGGCCTGGGATGATGGGGGACCCCGGCTGTGATCGTAGAGGGTGTGTGGGCTGGAGAAGGGTATTTTAGGCAGAAGAGGGGACTTGGGCTGCAATCATGGGGGCTTGGAGCTGATGGGACCCTAGGACGGGTTCATGAAGGAGTGAGTCGAACAAGGACTGAGACTCAGAGGGGAGGAGGCAATCTGATCTTGGCCAGCAGTAGAGGTGGTGGAGGGCTGGGATAAGAAGGTTCTGGAATGAAGGACATCTGGGAGCCAGCTGGGAGTTACCTGAGCTGAGGGGAACCTGGGCTGATAGAAGTGGGAAGGGCTGGGCTGGAGCAGCTGGACTGAGAGGTACCCGGATTGGGCTTGCGGGGGTGGGGGTCATGTCATGGCCATGGAACTAAGCTACCCAGCAATCCACACAGGAGGTTCACAGTCCCACTGTCCACCGTTGGAGTCCCTTAGCTCTGTATGGTGGTCCCAGAACACAAGATGCTCCCCACCCCCGACAGTGGACATCACTGACTCCCAGGCTTCCACTGGCTGCATCCAAATTTATTGGAAATAGTACAGTTGAAAACTCATCCTGCCCCGCCAGCCATCTGTGCATCCGTCCACTCAACTCTCTACACGTTCATCCAGCTATGCACGCATCCATCTATCCAACCATCTATGCTTTCATCCTCCATCCATCTATCCAAACATCCATCCATTTACCCAACCACCCATTGATCCATCCATCCATCTATCCAACATCCATCCATGCAGCCATCAACGCATCATCCATCTGACCACCTATGCCTTCATCCAACCATCTGGGCGTATATCCATCCATTTATGCAAACACCTCTATGTGAATCCACCCATCCGTCCGTCCGTCCATCCATCCATCCATCCATCCATCCATCCATCCATCCATCCATCCATCCATCCTCCTTTGTCCTTTCCTCCCTTCTCCTGTTTGAGGACCGCATGGAAGTCTGGGGATGCCCCCAACATATCCCCATCAGTGTTTCCCCAATAAACATCTTGCAAGTCCGTGTCCACTGTAGTGTTTGCTTCTCAGAAGGCCCAGATGAGCATGAGGTGTTGGGCTGGGGGAGCTTGGGGTTCAGCGATGGGTCTGGGGGTGGATCTTTATGCCGACTTGTGAAGCACAGTGGCCTCGTTCCCCCCCCCCCCATGAGATAGCGAGCTCTTCACTGCTTGGAAGGAATTCGTCAACAGCTCCACCCCTGTCCCTAGACGTGTCCCTCTCCCAGACAAAAAGATGGACACAAAGAGCTAAGAGACAGAGTCCTTTATCCTGTGAGGAACACAAAGTAGATGTCCTGGTGGTCCAGTGGTCTTGGGGGTCACTGCTCAGCTCACACTGGTCCTGGCAGGTGGAGATGTGGGGTCATCTGCAGGAGGGAGGGTGGGGGTCAGTGACTGCTCCGGACACTACCACTGTGTTGGTCTGTGCCCTGGCTCAAGGGAAGAAGGGGAGCGGCCCTCTCCACACTCATACTTACGCTTGCCCATTGACTCATCTCCCCATCCCTGTCCCCCAAGGTGAGTACGCGCCTTCAAACTCATGGGGACCCAGTGAGGCAAGATAGGGGAGGGGAGACAGAGGAGCAGGAATCAGGAGACAGAAGAGGGAATGACAGAGAAACAGGGAGGGACGGAGAGGGAGAAAAGAAGGGAGAGGAGAGAGAGAGAGAGAAATGGAGTGAAAAGAAGATGGGGGGACTTGGGGGGAGAAAAAAGAGACTGAGAAGGACAGACAGAGAGGGAGGGAGAGGGAAAGAACCACAGAGCAAGAGAGAAGAGAGGTGGAGACAGGGAAAGAAAGCTGAGGAGACAGAGACAGGAAGGCCGCTGGAGGAAAGCGGGGTGGTGGCAGTGGTGGAACAGGGAGAGAGAACGAATGACAGAGGTCCTTGCCTTGTCTCCTCAGTGAATTTGGGTCCCAGAGCAGGAGAGGGGCACAGGCTCCCAGGGCAAGCTCTCCTGATCCTGGGGGAATCTCACTCTGTCATTACGAAAGATTCCTGGCTCTCCACCGCCCGTTTCCCTTACAGAAGCCAGCGGGAGCTGCATTCAAGCCAGCCTGAGCCAAGTCCTGGAGGATGTTTCCAGCAGCGGAGGCCAGGCCAGCTGTTGGGAGTTTTGGGGACAATGTAAAGGCTTCCTTGGGGATAATTTTATCTAGGTGGTTACTTGTGAGTTACATGCCACGTGCACAGGTGAAGTTTAAAGTGTGCATACAGTGGTCCATCCTTTCTGAAATAGGACTCCTCATCTACATCGCAGATCACAGAGCGACCATCTCAATTTCCACCAAGAATGTTCTAGAATTACGGCTGTACTGGATTCAGGGAGGAAAGGAGAGCTCGTCACCTCCAGTGGACATCTTGGGGCTTAATGCTCACAGAATCTTCATTTGAGAGACTGATTCAATTACCTTTTCATCCATCCATCCACTCTTCCACTCATCTAGCCAGGGATGGCCCATCTGCCCCATTCTCCCAACTACTGATCCATTCATCAGTTCAACCTTATCCAGCCACCGGCCAACCCGCTCGCTCACCAATCCGTTCACTCACACGTCTGGCCACCAACGCATCCATCCGTCCAATCACATTTACCCATCAAACACCTCCTCCACCTACCAATCCGTCATCTACCTCATCTCCTCAACTCATCCATTCACCTGCCAATCCATCCATCCATCCATCCATCCATCTCTTCAAAATCTATTAATCTACTAATGCATACACTTATCCATAAGTCTAGTCATCTGCTGATCAACGTAGCCCTTTGTCCATTATCCTTCTATACATCTATCCTCCTCTCATGCACCTATTTACCTACCAATCCAACCATACATCCACCCAACCATCAATTCACCCATATACGCCAACTCGGTCATCCATCCACACACACGCATCCACTCATCCCATTCATTCGTGTGTCCATGCATGCGGTCATCAACCCATCAGTCTCTGACTTCCTCATTCATCCACTTTTGTGAGAAATGCCAAGAATAAAACAAAATTAAGGAGAGAGAGAGAGAGAGAGAGATGAGATGCTTTACTCGGTCAAGTGAGAGAGACAGCAGGAACATAGATATAACACACAGTGACATAAACAATTATTATATAAGGGAGAACAGCGGACAAGACTTGTCTTCGAAAAAGGAAAGGAAGCCAAGGTGAATCTTCAAGAACACGTGGGAAGCCTTCTGGATGGAGTGGAGACACAGAGGGTGGTTCTGACCTAGAGAGGGATCTGGGCAGAGGCTCAGTCGTGTGACAGAGCCCGGGCTGTGTGGATTGAAGTGCTATTAATGAATGCTGGGCTCTCTTGGAACCCACAAGTGACCTGGATTTTACCAGAGGGCAGTGGGGAGTCAACTGCTTTGAGCAGAGGAAGGCCGAGTTGGTGTTTGCTTCGGTAAGGGAATAGAAAGTAACGGGGGAAGATAGCAAGGAGGAAGAAAGAAGCATCTTCGCCCACCGCCTCCCTCTGTCAGCCCTTTCAGGCTCTGTGACTGGACCACTGACTAGGAAGGTCTCAGCTCCTCCACTGTCCAGCAGCATGGCCTTGGGCACTGTCCAACGTCCACTGGGCAGTGGGGAGGCAGCAACACTGACAGGCTCGGACCCTGACCGTCCTGAGACAAAGGGGAGGGCCTGGCAGCTGGCATGCAGGGAGCTGGGGAGAGCTGGCTGGGAATCTCAGGGTCCCCTCTGGGTGGGGTCACAGTGTCCACACCTCCCCTGCTGCCACTGGGCCTCCCTGTGTCTCCCTCCTGCTCTGAGCTCTGTCACGTTGCCTGGCCAGTCTCTTCCTCCCTACTCACGCTCATTCCTTCTCCACGTCTGCAGTCATGCCCCCCATGGCCCTCCATCTGTCCCATGTCCCTTCTCCCCCCCCATGTCCCTCTGTCTGCCCCACGTCTCTGTATCTCCATTGTCTCACTGTGTGACCTCACGACTCTGTCTTCCCCCATGTCCCTCCCGATGTCTTCCCGTCTCCCCTCATGTCTCTCCGTGTCCCCCATGTCCCTCCGTCATCCCCATGTACTTCTGTCTCCTCCACTTCTCTCTGTGGCCCCCACCTCTCTTTGTGGCCCCCATGATTTTCTGTCTCCAACTCACGTCTCTCTGTGTCCCCTTCAAGTCTCTCTTCCTCCCTCTGTCTCCCCCCACTTCTCTCTGTGTCCTCCACGTCCATCCCTGTCCTCCCATGTCCCTGTGTCTCCCCACATCCCTCTGCCTCCCTCCACGTCCCTCTGTCACCCCCATGACTCTCCGTCTTCCACCACGTCTCCCCTTCCCACATCTTTCCTTCCTCCTATGTCCTTCCGTCTCCCCCACTTCTCTCGTCTCCCCCTACGTCTTTCTGTGTCCCTCCCACGTCTCTCCGTGTCCCCCCCAGGTCTCCCGGTCTCCCCCCACGTCTGTCTCTCCGTGTCCCCCCAAGTCTCTCCCTCCCACGTTCCTCCGTCTCCCCCTACGTCTGTCTCCCCAAGTCTGTCCATGTCCCCGCGTCTGTCCATCTCCCCGGGCCCTCCAGCCCCCGGCCCCCGGGGCCCCTCACCTGGCTCACTCCGGGCCCGCGCCCGCCGCCCCG